TATGGGTTCACAAACATCAGCTACACCTGCTATCATAGGTTCACAAACATCAGCTACACCTGCTATCATAGGTTCACAAACATCAGCTACACCTGCTATCATAGGTTCACAAACATCAGCTAGTCCGCTTATAATGAGCTCTCAAACACCTGCTACGCCTTCTATTGTGGCTTCTCGAAACACCAGCGTCGCCTTTTATGATGGGTTCACAAACAACAGCTTTGCCTTCGATCATTGGTGCACAGACACCAGCTACTTTTTATATCACGGGTTCACAAACTCCAGCTACTTCTCCTATCATTGGCTCACAAACACTAACTACTCCTTCTATTATGGGATCACAAACACTTGCTATTCCTACTATCATGGGTTCACAAATACTAGCTACTACTTCTATCATGAGGACACAAATACTAGCTACTTCTTCTATCATGAGGACACAAATACTAGCTACTTCTTCTATCATGGGTTCACAAATACTAGCTACTTCTTCTATCATGGGGACACAAACAAAAGCTACTGCTATTATTATGAGCTCTCAAACACCAACTTCGCCTTCTATCAAGGGTTCACAAACATCAGCTACTCCTTCTAACATGGGGTCACAGACACCGGCTACTCCCTCTATCATAGGTGCACAAACACCAATTAATCCTCCAATCAAAGGTACACAAACACCAACTACTCCGATTATAATGACTACACCAATCAAACCAAGCTCATCCGTCACATTTAGTTCATCAACCGTCACACCAAACGTCTTCCCAATCACTCCAACATCAGCATCACTTTCAACAGCGTCATCTATTCATATTTCACAACCAACATCACTTTTGAATCGTTAAAACTAAGTATTAATGACCTTCTGATGAAAACAAATTTAACCAATAACGAGTTGCTGCTAAGTAGCGGAAACAACTCCAAAATATTTTCACTACTATTAAACACATTTTCACTGCAGGTAAATGACTCTATGAAAGAAAACATGTCAGTCGAGAGTCAACCTTTGGAATCAGGCTCATCTTCCATTTCGCATTCGAGTGATCTATATAGTATAGATTCACAAACACCAGTTCCAACTTCTGTTAAGCAGACGTACGCATCAGGATCATCCTCTATTACAGAAGAAAAAATATCAGCTTCATTTTCTATAATAGAGACACAAGGTTCATCCTCTAAAATAGGTTCAAACGCACCTAAAACACAATCTATTATGAGTTTACATCCACTGTCCACAAACCATATCATGGAACCTCTCGCAAACATGTATTCACAAACGCGCTTTATAATAGCTTCACAAACACATATTTCATCCTCAGCTTCAATCATTGATTCTCAATTGCCTGGTTCACAATCTATCAAAGGTTCATTTACGACGCTCTCACAATCTACAATGAGTTCACAAACACCAGTTTTACACTCTGTTAAAGATTCACAAACACCGAGCTCAAACACAGCCTCTGATAAAGATTCACCAAGCTTATCTTCAACAATACCAGCTACGCCTTCTATCATGGGTTCACAAACTGCAACTACTCATTCTATCATAGGTTCACAAACACCAACTACTCCTTCTATCACGGGTGCACAAACACCAGCTATTCCTTCTATCATAGATTTACAAACAGTAGCTACTCCTTCTAACATGGGAACGCAAACATTAGCTACTCCTTCTATCATGGGTTCACAAACACCAACTACACCTTCTAACAAGGGAACACAAACACTTGCTAATACTTCTATCATAGATTTACAAACAGTAGCTACTCCTTCTAACATGGGAACAGAAACATTAGCTACTCCTTCTATCATATATTCACAAACATCAGCAACTCCTTCTATTATGGGTTCACAAACACCAGCTACTCCTTCTATCATGGGTTCACAAACACCAGCTACTCCTGCTATCATAGATTTACAAACAGCAGTTACTCCTTCTATCATGGTTTCACAAACACCAGCTACTCCTTCTATCATGGGTTCACAAACACCAGCTACTCCTTCTATCATAGATTTACAAACAGCAGTTACTCCTTCTATCATGGTTTCACAAACACCAGCTACTCCTTCTATCATGGGTTCACAAACACCAGCTACTCCTTCTATCATAGATTTACAAACACCCGCTACTCCGTCTATCATGGGTTTACAAACACCAGCTACTTCTTCTATCATGGGTTCACAAACACCAGCTACTCCTGCTATCATGGATTCACAAACACCAACTACTCCTTCTATCATGGGTGCACAAACACCAGCTACTCGTTCTATCATGGGTGCACAAACACTTGCTACTCCTTCTTTCATAAGTGCACAAACACCAACTACTCCTTCTATCATGGGGACACAAACACCAGCTACTCCTTCTATCATGGGTTCACAAACGCCAACTAGTCCTTCTATAATGGGTTCACAAACACCAACTACTCCTTCTATCATGGGTTCACAAACACCAACTACTCCTTCTATCATGGGTTCACAAACACCAACTACTCCTTCTACCATGGGAACACAAACACATGCAACTCCTTCTAGTATGGGTTCACAAACACCAGATACTCCTTCTATCATGGGTTCACAAATACCAGCTACTCCTTCTATTATGGGTTCACAAACACCAGATACTCCTTCTATCATGGGTTCACAAACACCAACTACTCCTTCTATTATGGGTTCACAAACACCAGCTACTCCTTCTATCATGGGTTCACAAACACCAGATACTCCTTATATCATGGGTCCACAAACACCAGCTACTCCTGCTATCATGGGTTCACAAAAAACAACTACTGCTTCTATCATGGGTTCACAAACACCAGCTACTCCTGCTATCATGGGTTCACAAACACCAACTACTCCTTCTACCATGGGAACACAAACACATGCAACTCCTTCTTTCATAGATTTACAAACAGTAGCTACTCCTTCTAACATGGGAACACAAACATTAGATACTCCATCTATCATGGGTTCACAAACACAAGCTTCTCCTTACACCATGGGTTCACAAACACCAGCTACTCCTTCTATCATGGGGTTACAAACACCAGCAAATCCTTCTATCACGAGAACACAAACACCAGCTACTTCTTCTATTATAGATTTACAAACACCAGCTACTCCTGCTATCATTGGTGCACAAACACCAGTTACTCCTTCTATAATGAGAACACAAACACTAGCTAGTCCTTCTATAATGAGAACACAAACACCAGCTACTCCTTCTATCATGGGAACACAAACACCAACTACTCCTTCTATCATGGGTGCACAAACACTAGCTAATCCTTCTATCATGGGTACGCAAACACCTACTACTCCTTCTATCATGAGTGCACAAACACCAGCTACTCTTTCTATCATGGGTGCACAAACACCAGCTACTCCTGCTATCATGGGTTCACAAACACCAGCTACTCCTTCTATCATGGGTTCACAAACACTAGCTACTCCTTCTATCATG